TCCTTTGCATACTTGATTGCATTATCAGACCATCTCACAAAGAGTACTCATTGCTTGATACTAAAATGTGTTTTATGCTGATGATGCCACAGATGGAGAAGGCAGTGAGTTTCTACAATAGCAAGAAGCAGCTTCTGCAGGAAAGCAAGATCAGGTGGCCGAACTCAAGAACTCCTTGGAGGTTAAAGAGCGGGAAGTCAAAGGCGTTACCATGGAGAACAAGATACTTCAACTGGATCTGGAGAAGGTCCAAAACAATGAGAAGAAACTGAGTAGCACAGTGGCCAGTTTGGAGGCACAGGTTAGTATTGTTTATAGAAACATTATAACTGAATATAGAGGGCATGAACACACAACTGGAACACTTAATTTGTAATTACTAGTAAAGAAAAATGACATTTAAGTCCAAGAACAGCGACAGAAAACATGCATTTCATGTTGAAGTGTATCTCTGTATCTTTATACATTTAGCTGGCCTTTGCTGACCGTAACCTGCGAGCACAAAATAAGATTCATGGAACTGAAAGAAGTGCAACAGAGGCCTGTTACTTGGAGATTCCCAGTGGACACTCAAGTGTTCATACTAGAGCAGAAGTGAGGAGGGTCATGAGCTCTGACAGCCTGGACCAGAGCTCTCTGGAGGACTCCCTGAACACCACAAGGTAAAAAAACATCTAATGTTTCTCTTTCTTTAAGGCTGTGACAATCTTGCTATGTCATCAAGAAACCTTGGATATTGAGGGCAGTGTGTAAAGACAAATCTGACGTTAAATCCGTCTGCCAAAGTTTTTTTTATTATTGTTCCAGTTCTCTATAAATTTACAACGTAATCCTTTTGTTGATATTGAAATAGTTTGATATAAATCTACATAACTAAAATTCATCTCGACCGAGCAAAGGAGGTTCCATTGATTTAATGACATTCCTAAATATGGCTGTTTTTGCCTGTTCCTCAAACAAAATAAATCTTTAGAAAAGTAAAGGAAACAATGTGAGTTGCAAAGTAGGAAAATATGATTGTAATCTAATACTTTCACTTGTTTCTTAACTCTGCAGGAAACTGTCTGCACCTGGTGAATCAAGCACACCGCTTGTTCGCAGTTCGGAGCGCTTGGCATCCAAACGTCAAGGCCTGCAGGCTGAGTCACTAGAAACCCTGTACTTCACACCAATAAACAACAAGCAGATCAACAGGTATGTCCCACTGTTGTGGCAGACTTGGTGTTTCATACATTACATTTTAAAGCGGAGGGTGTAGAAGAAGAGGGTTCTTTAAAGCTTTAAATTGCTTTCTTCCTTGCGTATTCTGTTATCTTGAATTTTATTCTAGTATATTGTATTGTATTTTTCGTCCCATAGGACTGGTACAGAACACAGAATGGAATTTGATTCGTCCTGTAAAAACCCAACTTCATCGGTCAAACGACGCAGGACCACGCAGGTTATTAACATCACCCTGACAAAGGTGGAGGAAACTCACTTGCACTCTAATTGCCTGTTTTGCCATTTCACAAAAATGCACAGTGTTGAATGCGCTTTATTTGGGATATCAGAGCTGTCTCTTTCTTGTCATTCATATTTGGTGTAATAGATGAGGACATTATCTTTCTAGTTTAAAACAAGTTACACTTTACTGGTTGTTGCAAGCACTTCTCTTCTCATTACATGGCAGTAGTTTGAAAAATCATTCAAATGTTTGAACTCTTGAATTGTAGAAAACTCCGGGCGGCGGTGGTGACTGTGATGAGACTTTCTACAGTCTGGCTTCAGCACGCTCCCAGCCAAACCTCTCCGGTGCCCACTCTGCCCGACCTGTGTCTACAGAGCTGTTTGAAACTCCTGCCAAAATGACTGGTGCAGCTAGCGACCAGCTCATTGGTCTTCCAGGGTACAGAAGGAGCACAATTCACTCACAGTGTAAGTGGACACACATGGTATGGTTTGTAACATAGAAGCAGGGCTGCAACTGACAATTATTTTTTTTTACTATCTATCAGTTAGCTGAATATTTTCTCCTTCAATTCTTTGGTCTACAAGTACACCTGAAAACCATAAAAGGCAGATATCAGGATTTTTCTTCTTTGAGAAAAATGTATTATTGGCCCATGGAATATTCCCGCATTCTCTATTTCCACTATCTTTTTCTTAATAAAAAAAAAAAAAGAACTGAAAAAGCAAGACTTGGGTTTGAATTCAAACCCAAGTCTTGCTGTTCGGTCAACAGCATGTGCATCTAAATATTTTATTGGTGCAGAGAAAAGCTCAGCAATTCCACTAATATTCAGTTCTTGAATGTATTGACTAAATGCTGGGTTTTCAAGGGGGCCCTATCTAAAAGTGTATGTATTGTAAAGGATCCCAGATAGGTTATAAGATTAACTTTATTGTCCCAATGGGAAATTTGTCTATACAGTGTCAGCAACTTATTATATTTCAAAGGGTCTGTGTTTAACTTCTTGCTTATTTTATTTTTATTTGACTGTCTTCAGCAACAGGCACATTCTGTGTGGGGGCAGAGAACGAACCAGATGGTGGACCTGATGATTGGATGAGGCTCGCTGAGCTTCAGGCAAGGAACAAAGCCTGCCTCCCTCATCTAAAGAGCAGCTACCCTCTGGAGTTTGATGTAAGTGGAGGAGAAGCTTAAAAAAGCACACACTGCAGGCATAAAGTTGCATTTACACACATTTTCTTAATTGGCAGTCAGAATGATACTAAATTTGAAACTTTTAATACATGGGGATGGCTATAGCTCCAGACAAGGATTAATACATAATGACCACTCTTAAAGGCGAATATCTGAGAATTAACTTTGGTGCACCATCCCCAAATGGGTTTGGTAGGAAAACTACCCCCTGACAGATAATAATAATTAATAATAAATTTTATTTATAAGCGCTTTTCAAAACTCAAAGACACTGTACAATAGTACAAAAACAGAAAGAACAGCACAGTAAGGACAGACTAACACATTGCAACATTCCACACAAATTATAAAGAAAAAAACAATAAAGGTAAAACTACAGAAAATACATCACAATCATGCATTAAAAGCTTGTTTAAAGAGGTGAGTTTTGATAAGTGATTTGAAAGTAGGAGGGTCGGTGCAGTGTTGAATGTGTGTAGGGAGTGAGTTCCAGACGGAGGGGGCAGCTATGGAGAAGGCTCTGTCCCCCCCAGGTTCGATGCTTAGTTCTAAGAGGGGGAGATAGCAGGTTGGCTTTTGAAGAACTAAGGCTGCGTGCAGGAGTGTGAGGGTGAAGGAGAGCCGTGAGGTAGGAGGGGGCCTGGTGGTTAAGGGCTTTATGTGTGAGGAGAAGGATTTTGAATTGGATACGGTAAGGGACATGGAGTCAGTGGAGATTTTGCAGGACAGGGGTGATGTGTTTGCATGTCCGGGTGTGGGTGAAAAGGGCGTGCAGCAGAGTTTTGGATGTATTGAAGTTTATTAAGGACTTTGGATGATGTGCCGAAAAGGATGCTATTGCAATAGTTGAGTCTGAATGTGATGTTTCACATTAGTGGATTAGTGTTTCAGCAGCAGAAAATGATAGTAGTGGACGGAGGCGAGCTATGTTTTTGAGGTGAAAGAAGGCGGTTCTTGTGAGCTGGGTGACGTGGTGGTCAAAGGAGAGCTGGCTGTCAAAGATGACTCCAAGATTGCGGATATGAGGGGAGGGGGAGAGAGTGGAGTTGTCTGTTGTGAATGGAATTGGTGAGGGATTTGGGGCCGATGATTATTATGTCCAATTTTGCATAGTAGAGAGAGGAAGTTGATGTGCATCCATGTTTTTATTTCATTGAGGCAGTTTGTCAGGGTAGAGCAGGTTTAAATGGTGATTGAATTAGTGGAGATGATTAAAGCTGGATGTCATCTGCATAACAGTGGAAATGGAGACCATGCTAGCGGATAATGTTACCAAGGGGGAGCAAGTACCGAACCCTGGGGGACGCCTTGGGACAAAGGAGCTATGGAGGAGGAGCAGTTTGATAAATTGACTTTCCTGTTATTAACAATGAACACAATATACCACTAGTAGAGAAGTGCTGGTCCAACAATCCGGAGCTATTTAGGCTTCAATGTCTAACTCACGAAATGTTGCCAGTTGGGAAACATTTAAAAGCAGTTTAAAATATGTTTTGAGTTTTAAATTATTCAGATTTTTTTCTTCTTCATATTTTCCTCTTGGTTTAATGAGTTTCCTCCTTGTCTATTCCTCTAGGCGGGCAATGTCGGTCCTTACCGTTTCACAGATGAAGAACTCCGTATGGGCGACCCGTCTGACACAATCCGTCGGGCATCCATGATGCCTGGCCAGCTGCAAGACTCTCTCACCTCCCATCGGCATTCGCTCATGTTAGGACACTCGGCAGCAGCAGCCAATACTCGCTCACACCGTCTGTCTTTGATGCCAGGACAACTGCCATCTAGAACTGTCAGCTCCTCTCAGCTGAGAAGCCCGAACGGCTCGAAGCGGTCTGCATCTACTCTGTCTGTTCATCAGATGTCACCAGAGGTTGGTTTGCATTAGCATGTATTGGGACACATGATACATTCTGTGTTATTGTCTGAGCCACAGTGAATACAGTATATCTCATATTATCTTCTATATTAGCTTTTAACAATGTATTTAAAGGCTTTATATGCGATTTTTCACACTTAAACGCAATAGAAATCAAGTATATCCTCTGAAAATAACTCTGTGAGTAATGACTGCCTACAATGGGTGTAACACCCGAGTCCCACTGTCTGTGATGCTTTCAGAGTTTTCCGAGTCCTATCTTCAGTTTGTTTACATCATCGGGACGGCCGGCAGACTCCTCCCCTCGTGTATAAAAGTTGTTTAATTGAGGGACTAGAGAAAAGAACAATAATATATTGTACTCACTGCTTAATTGAATGTCACGTAAGTATTTCTAGATCACGCTCATTTTGGGTAAATTTACATGCAGTGTGAAGATACGAGCAGAATAAAGATAGCTAGCATTAGCATGCTAACACAACAATGCAGCACAAGTTGTTTTGGTTTCATGCTGGTGCTCAAGGGCGACATCTGCTGGATCAAAAAATCGCATATAAAGCTTTTAATCTTTACACTTTTCCTTCAAATGTTTGAACTTTAGTCCTCAAGACTTACTGTTTAACAAAACCTATTGTTACTGTACAGTGTATCTTTGTCATAATATCTTTGCTTGTCTCTGTAATTCTCTAAAGATCAGAGCATAAACATGCTTGTTTTCCAGTCATTGGACATTAGAAATGTTGTAAAATGGTTTTAAGGTTGTTGTTTTTTTTGGGGGGGGGGGGGAGATACATTGACATGTTTATTTCTCACTCTGTTTGCCTTTCTTTTCCTGAAATGTGAAATGCCTTTCCCTTTCCCTGTCTTAACACAGAAAAAGGTGAAGGCCAGCTGCTTCCCCCGTCCTCTAACTCCCAAAAACAAGAACGTGATCAATGGGTCGTCCAGCGCTCAGCTTCGCCCTGCTCTAAGTCCCGTGAGTGAAATAAAAAAGGAGTCAGAGTCAAAATAGTTATCTTCATTTTGTCATGTAACCCTTACAGCATGTGTTATTTTTGTTTTTCTGACACTTCAACAGGCTGACCGGAGACAGTCTATGATGTTCTCTATCGAAAACACCCCTAAAAACAGCAACTACCTGAAGAAAGGGCTGAACAAACTGCGTGGCTCCACTCGAAAATCTCCAGGCAAAAGCTCTAAAAAGTCTCCTGCTCAAACATCCTCTCGTAAGAGCCAGGAGAACAAACCATCAGGAAATCCTCGTGCTAGGGTCGGAGGGGCCGGCAGACTAGGCAGCTTCAAGTCACCCCAGGTGGCAACTAAAGGACAGAGAAAGTCTCCACGAGCAACCAGCTCCACTGCGAAGTCCCCTGGGCTGACTTCAAGTGCTCGCAAGGTACGAGACACACACAGAAAAATCCATTCAGGAAATTAAAAGACACAAATAATCATGTTAAGGTCGGCTGTGGAGTTTTCTCCTTCAGCACGTCATATGCACATGTAACCATACTCCTTGTTGTGTAGTAGCAGCAGGTCTGATGGAGAATCTCTGTCAACTGATAACCTAACAGCAGCAGATTATGGAGATTATGTAGTTCACTTACATGTCACCCTATTACAGATTTAAAATGTTAAAGAGAAAGGAGAGCCTGTCTTCCATGTGGTTTTTCACCATGTAAGATATGATAATAGCCTAAATTGTTCAACTTTTTGTGTGTGAAAATATGGCTTTATGTGTGTTTGTGCCTTCACTGAAGACAACTACAGTATACTATACAGCTGAGCCTTGTCATAATCTCAAAAATTGTATTTTAACAGAAATACACACTTAATTAAATGATAAAATTCCCTTGATGAATGTTAAAGGCTTTATATGCCTAATGCTAGTGATCTTTATTATGCTTGTGTCTTCACACTGCATGTAAGTTTACCCGAAATGAGCGTGATCTAGAAACGCAGTTAAGCAGTGAGTACAGTATGTTATTCTTCTTTTCTCTAGTCCCTCAATTAAACAACTTTTATTCGCGAGGGGAGGAGTCAGCCGCCGTCCCGGCGATGTCAACAAACTGAAAATATGACTCGGAAAACATCAGAGAGTGGGACTCGGGTGTTACACCCATTGTAGACAGTCATGACTCACAGAGTTATTTTCAGAGGATATACTTGATTTCTATTATATTTAAGTGTGAAAAATCGTATATAAAGCCTTTAATTGTTGTTAGATAAAGTAGAAATACTGCACAATAGGCAAGAGGAAGTGCTTGAAAGATGTTGCTTCATAACATCTCAGTAACTGCTGAATTTGGATGCTGTTTTTTTTCCAGAAGCATGTGACTATAAATGAAGAAAATTTTACAGGAAGTCTTAAAAGGTCAATATTATTCAGTCCATTTATTTTAAATTTAGCTTTTGGGTTGTTGTGTCTTTCCACTGGCTGCTTTACCGGTCACAACTTTATGTCATAACTACTAATGGTGTGTTCATTTCTTTATTACCACATAAAGGGTGTCCACATGTCTCTGTATGTACCAACACTACACACTGGCAGCACTTGGTTTCAGCTTTAATTAAAGGTTTTAGTAATTGGTTTTCTTCTTACTATTTTTGAGATCTTATGTTTATTCCATTTTTTTTTTTCTCCACAGATGATGAGCAGGATGAAGGTGTGAGGACTGGTTTCTAAACTGGAGTGGTGATCTTTTAAGGTTCTACGTTGTATCAATTTTTAACAATCACAATCGCTTTTTCATTTTATTGTATATCTGGAGTTTTTAAATCTTGTTTTAATCTGTTTTTTTTTTTTTTCTTCTCTGTATTATATTTACATGTTTGTCAATAAAAAGATTTCAATGACACATTGTGCCTTTGAACTGAACATAGCCCCACGGATAATTCCATAATTAGCTCTATAAATCAAATGTTCATGGTACTCATGGTTATAGTTGGGAGCCGGGTAAAAGCAGAGTCTCCTCTGAATCTTTAGTGGGTTGTTCAGAGCAAATCTATTGAACGCATATAAGCAGAGACGATCTTACAAAAATTGTTTTCTAATTGAGCAAGCTCATTCTCCTTAAACTAACAAATACAAAAATTGCCACGTGTGATATTTAAATAAACAAAACATGATTCATTTATTTTTATGGTTTTAACTTATGGACTTCAAAAGATTTGTATGTGTGTTTTTAAAACGGTAGTTGAACATCTGCATAATGTCAACATTTTTCTATTTTAAAGGTAATCAGCGCTAGATTTTTGGTCTTCAGTTATTCATGAGAGCAACCCATCCGGGTACTTTGCCCAAACGATGCCGGCCCCGCCCCTTTCTCGGTGAAATCATTCCCTCTGAATGAATGTCTTTACCGATTTAAAGTCTTAAAAAATGAAAACCGTAATTTAAAACTGCAAGTATGAGCCTAAATCTGATGACCAGTGATGTAAACATTCAAAATATGGCATTTCTGAGCAGAGATCGGCATCATAACGGAATAAAATTAACCATGTACCTGAGTGTCTGTTCAATCTCTCTGTCAAACTGCTCTAACGAGTCATCAGAGGAAACTGACTTTAAACACCTGATGAGTAATTATTAACCGTGTTACCTGAGAGGGATCCTTATTTTTAAATATGTATTTGTAATAGTTTCTAACAGTGTTCATAACTGTAATGGAGATGTTATAAACGTTTATTTTAGAGAAAAGAGGACATAAACTCTGAGTTATCAGCTGATTTAGTAAAGAATAACACATGTAAAGTCACGTGGATGATATTAAAACATTTTGTATTCATACGTGAGTGTAAATAATGATGAGTGGGGCGAGACGAGGTGTTATTCGAGCTAGAGAACTTTTTATTT